AATTATTATGAAAAGCATTCATACAAACATGCTTATTACGTTGCTCGAACGGTAGTTACGGGGAGAATGAAACCCGCTTACCTTATTGCTTTAAATACCTTATACTGCTATCTGAGTTAAATTAACTTATCTTACTGTTCGCAGAACGGACTAATAACTATTCCTACGCTGAATTATAGTGTTTAATAAGCGGTGTACCTCCTGTACCTGCCTACATCTTCGTGCGCGTATATTGCAATGCATACTCAGGTACTGACGCGTGCATGCGTACATACAGGAAAGAACCTAAGCGTGAACACACACGTGCAGGTGCGCGCGCACACACACACACACACACACACACACACACACACACACACACGAGCGCGCGCGCGCACTCGCATACGCGTATACACCACTGATCTCTATCTCCTAACTTAGCAGTATAGAGTTAGTATATAGTTAGTATATAGAAATCAGTGGTACACACATGCACACGCGCAATCACACATGCGCGCGCATTCAGATACACGCACATGCGCAAACACACGCGCGTGCACCAAACTCCCTCCCACACGCATACCACACACGCGCGCGTACGCACGCACCCATGCACGCACATACGTACACCCACACATATACATACGCGCGTTCACGAAAACGCATGCTTTGTGCGCACACAAAGAAAGCGCTCGGACACGCATACGCGAACGCACGCACGCACGCTTGCATGCACGCATGCACCTAACGCACAACGTGATGTTGCTAATCAGATATAGTTGAGACGCGCGTAGGACAGGTGTAATAAATGTATAGCAGAGATCAGACCATTTTTACGATAGCAATTTATTAAAATGTTTCTTTCTTTCACTCGGCTCACTATTTTACTGGATAATAACTTACTATCGTAATTTCAGCCTTAGCAGCGCTTAGAGTAGCTCTAGAAATATAGCCCTTCGTTCTGCCACAGGCAGAGGTGTGCCTGTGGCAGAGCGAAGGGCTATTACGTATAGTATACTATATAGTTCTAGAGCTATACGGTTACAGTGGCTAATGCACAGCTCGTTTGCCCACGTGACCACGATTTTTGTTCGTCGTAGAACATCAAAATTACACACTGACGTAAATCGTGATTTCCGTCGAAATTCTTCTGTCGCATCGGATCAGGCTCGTTTGAGTGACGTCTGGTTAATGGGCGTGTTTCCGTGATCGGGTCCCGGGCCGTCTCATTTCGTGTCATTGTCGATAGATCGCGTAGACAATGATTCACCCCCGCGGACAAAGCCGCGAAACATTTGCGTGCATTAACGCACCATTGTGTTACGTTGAATCGCCCGACGTCAGCGCGAGCCGATGTTGAGTGCGAGCGCGGGTATCATCTCTCCGAGGCTCTTTAGGGCATCGATGTAGAGTGAATTGAGTGTGCGCACTACGTTTGTATAATGTCAGCCTCCTGCTGTGCTCATATTGCCGCTATACGGCATAATGTGTCAACGTCTGTGTAAAATAGGAGGAAATGGGTGAGGATAAAGAGTTAACCAAAAACCAATAATACTTCCACCTGGTGAACGCAACCGAAACGGAAAGTTACACATCTTAAATTGGCTATGAGAGTTTTAAGATTATGCATATAAATATATATATATATATATATATCGAATGGAGTGTCAACTTTTTATTTCGCAAGCTTTCGAGAACACATGTCTCTTCGTCAGGTTTTTACAGCAACCGGCTATTGCGGGCAATTGCGTACGACCTCATGAAGAACGGACAATAGCTTCAAACAGCTTCACACAAGAAAATATGAGATTAGAAGGTCTCATTGCGATCGATGATTATTAGAGATAGTAGAGCATCACGGATTCTTCTTTTTATACTGAATAGCGGCCGATGAGCAAGATACACGGCATAGCTGACCGCAGGGATACTTTGGACAGACAAAATATAGAGAATAAACAAATGACCTTGGTAAATGCTTAACAAAGTTTACATGGAAACGCGAATCACTTAAAGGCTCATTAGGTCGGTATTACGACTGACGTTTGAGTTGCTGTAGTTGCTGCCATGCGTTGAGCTATGGCGATTGTTATATCATTGTGTTAGCGTGCGTGCATGCGTGCGTGCGTGCGTGCGTGCGTGCGTGCGTGCGTGCGTGTGTGTGCGGAGAGAGAAAAGTAAACATCGTTTATGTATGATTATGTGGTGTTAAAGCGACTACAAACGCATTAGAAACACAACACATAAATCCAGCATTACTCAGGCAACATTTAAACAGCACGGACGAGATATTGTCATTCTAGAATGTATTTATTTATTCTTCAAAGAATGCCAAATCACACAATTAAATCGACGTCAGTGTCTCTTGAATGATCAGGACTAGTATTGCGCGCACACAACAGCTTGCTCCACGTTACACACATGGGCGGCAACAGTATTATATCACTGACTGAGACAAGAGCTGTTTCAAGCGGAAACAGGCTAGTATGTACATTTGTGCGTGCTTCATGCATCACGGGCCACAGGCGGCACCTATCACACACGCCTTGCTCCTTGATAAACCATTGATACACTTACTACAGACATCTCAGCCCGCATAACGGTAAACGAGCTACGATTTCCATGGTATCAACAGATCAGTCAGATGCCCGATCATTCTGCCAGTCTACACTGCCATCTGGCGGCCGTAAAACAAGCAATAGGGACGTCAGCTTACAACAGAGGCCCGTTGTCAGAGACCATCATAAATGCGCATGCACATCGTAACTCTAATATACTCTAACTTTTACCCCGAACGTTCAGTCATAACTAAGCCACGATAGTCACAACTTTTGTTGACGCTTCTGACAACAGTGTGAATTTAGCCAAAGTTCTTCAAGAGTACCTACGTAGTACAACTAACTTTACGTGAAGTCAATGCTGGGCCTCGGGTTCGCATTCCTGTTGTGGAACTGCGTCGACGATTCACCTACTCGTTAATTTTTGTTACTAGCATGCACGCGAACCGATAACAAACAAATCACAATGTTAGACAAATGACGTGAACGGCACCAATATGCGGTAAATCAGCAACAACTTCACGCCAATACGAACAACGCAGGAATGTCACGTGATGCGCATGAGCCAACATAGCAACAGCTTCAGACAGAGCGAAAAGTTCTCCACAAAGTTTCTGGTTTTGCGAAGAGAAATCTTCTATCTAGGGGGGCGAGACGAAGCGTTAGTGATTTTTCTAATTCGACCTGCTTAACATTGTGTTTACATAAATAATTAACTTAATTAGAATCCACGTCGTCTCACGACCACAGAATATCAAATGAACCTGCATCATCTTGCTCAGTGAGCAGTTACGTGCATCACCACAAAGAAGCAGAGTTACCGTGGCAACACCGTAACTATTCCGCGTTGTATAACGCACTGACCACTCCGTGGCGTCGGTACGTGCATACCTGCACGCCTATGGCACGTGGCAAGTAAACGTGTCGCAATGTTACAGTTATCGAATGCGCGCGCCTACTGTCGCGAAAACACGTCTGCGTGACAATGAAAGCACAGCTGTTGAACCCAACATTCACGATAAACCCCACGCGCGCGCAGGAACAATCACGTGACAACTTATCATAATTGAAAGATAATCATAACAATTCGTGGCGTTATCCTTCATCGTCACACCCCCCCCCCCACCAAAAAAAACGTATCGATTCCACTGATATATACAGATTTATATGACTATTCACACACTACTTACTGAAACCTGCGAAATCTATGACGATAATTACGAGCACGTGGTAGTCAATCGCAGCCCTCGTGCATCTCGGATATAATAGATGGATACGCAGAGGTATAACTATCGCACCAAACTCCACGACAGATGGCGCTCTCGCTCTGGCTCAATTTACGTATCCGGAGCACGTTGTACGAAAGAGGCGCTGCACGCAGTTTGCTATTATAGTCCCTTGATTTTTAGAGTCCCTTTATATATATATATATATATATATAAAGGGACTCTAAAAATCAAGGGACTATAATAGCAAACTGCGTGCAGCGCCTCTTTCGTACAACGTGCTCCGGATACGTAAATTGAGCCAGAGCGAGAGCGCCATCTGTCGTGGAGTTTGGTGCGATAGTTATACCTCTGCGTATCCATCTATTATATCCGAGATGCACGAGGGCTGCGATTGACTACCACGTGCTCGTAATTATCGTCATAGATTTCGCAGGTTTCAGTAAGTAGTGTGTGAATAGTCATAAAAATCTGTATATATCAGTGGAATCGATACGTTTTTTTTGGTGGGGGGGGGGTATATAAAGGGACTCTATTTGCTATCGCACCTGCCATGATAAGGATACGCCGGTGCTGCCACATCCTGAACACTAACCAATTAGAAAATTCAGAGCGACCTATCTCTGCGAACTTAAACGCAGTGCAAAACTCAAAAATATTGGGGAAGATAAATGTACCAGAGTATAGGAGTAGTGTTAGAGGCGCGAAAAAGGAGTGGCGAGCGAGGAGGAAATAATGGGAGAGGAGTTGCTCCTGTTTCTACTTCCTACCAAGTTTAGAGCACTACAGTGCTCGTTATTATTATTCACTATGACCATCTACGGCAAATACTATGCATAACAACGTATACAATGACCGTGACCGTGACATGCAAAACCCGGCGAATACAACCTTGCTTGTTTAGCCGCGATTCTGCGGCTCGTGACAAATCTCAATCGACGAGTGTGGGAGCGACAACTTACTCTCTAAACCGCAAAAACCTCTCCCTATATAGAGTCGTTCCCTCACACCACAGACAGATCGGTATCAATCTTGTATAACTGGAAAATAAATTTTGGGGAATAAAGGAAACCTCGGGCCGTTGACATTAATTGGCAGTCTCAAATCGCATGCGGCCATAGTATGTAAGCAATGTAAAATGATTAGTAATGTATAGCAATGTAAAATGATTTCCGCGTTTCCTGTTCATTTGTTACTTATATACAAGTACATCATCCGTAACATCAGGGAGAGATTTATCGAAATAGTCTAGGATATGTATTTATTCGATTTATAACTTCAAAGGAACCTCGTTACAATCCATTTACTGGCATAATAGGGCGATTTTCATTGAAACAAAGTCGACGGCATAATATTTTATTGGTACAGGCGAGAGAGAGAGTTCAGAGAGAGACAGTAACATCTCTCAACATAACTGCAATTCTGTCTGTCACTTTCGTTGTGACGTGTATTTCAGTCTCCTGTTGTCGCCATACAAAAATATTACGTTGCCAGCCTAGCGAATTTCCCTATAAAAGTGCATAATCAGATACGAGTACGAATGGGAAAGTGGCGGCACCTGTTAGCCTGTGCAGGACTTTCTGGCAATGATCAAATCATCATCGATTTACGTAGCATACGATATAATAGCAATTGTGATTCGAAACCTTTGCATATTTAAATGCGTTCATGGTGTATAAAGCATGCAATTTCATGGTTTGACTAGTTCATATTTCTGCGCTGTATATTTCAATATAATCAGAAGTAGATAATAGTTCCCTATTATCTACTTCTGATATAATGCTGCAATTCAGCGAACGTGCTCGTGTTCTGCAGATAGAAAAAGCGATTTTCTTACAAAAGTATCCATACATGGATGTAATCAATAATCGAAATATGTTAAAATTGACAAATTTTGTCCCCTTGCATTCTACTTTACATTATACGAAACTCAAATATATCAATGAAAAAATTACGATGACAAAAAATAACACAAGCTATGCTCAGTTATACGCAATAGGTGATAGCGTTTTGGCAATTAATGATCACAACCCATCTTAAAGCTGGCTTGGTGCGAGGTGATTGTAATACAATATTATACAGCGGCCCCCGCCATTCAAACGTTCCGATTAAGCGGTTGCATCACAACGTGCATAGACACGTGGTTCAAGGAACGCACTTGTGTACCTGAGGCCCGGAGCCCAATAACACGGGGACCACTGTGTTATGATAATACCCGTAGTGAATAATAATATTATTATCATAATTATAATTATATTATTATAATTATAATTATATTATAATTATATATATATTATTATCCACTCCTGATAATACTACCACTGCACGCTATATCCATGTATAAACCTGTGTGCATTAGGGGACAGCTTGCTAGTACATATTCTGCCCTGTATATACGAATAAGCAGAGACTATTCTACAGAAATTGTGGAAGCATTGAAAACAGCAGAACACACATGTGCATTCCAGGAATCCACCGTCATAATGACGATTCGTCCCATGATGCCCTCGCACCGTACTTACGTATTACTTGAATACTAAATAGCATTATTCTTCAGTTTACCAGCTTAGAGAAATACACAAGTTGTTTACAAAAATCTCGTATTTATCGTAAAAATCTTGAAAAGTAGCGCAACTCACTAGAAAACTATAGCACCTATTAGGTTCACATATAAATTGTTGATTTTTATAGAAAGTATACATATTTTCTACTTTTTCACTTCTCCAAAATTCCATTCATAATTAAATGCACGGTTATTATACATGCACGCAGAAGGAAATCGACAGAGGGAGAGAGATGGGGGAAAGAGGAGAGATAAGGGAGGCGAAAATATATCCTGTACACGGTAAGAGACGGGGATATAGTACTCCTGATTATTTAATTATTTGAACCTATAAAGAGATTCATACCGAGAATCTGTATGTATAATTAAAAGATCATGGTACAATGTTGTGTATTTTTTTCAAAAACATTGGTTCTTGGCATGTTGGCTTGATCATCCATTGAACATGAAATGATGAATAAAACATTAGCTTGCAGAAATTCATCTCCAGTCGTGTCCAGCTCAAGTCAGTACGAATAATTAGATTAGATTCTACTCTACATAACCAGTTATAGCAATTAAGAAAATAGTTCGCAATACATTATCAATCAAACGGTTAAAAATAATGCAGGAGCCTCCATATTTAAACACTGATCGATCAATATATTCACATCAATATATTAATATATTTCGCCATTAGGCCGTTTTGTCCTTTTCATTTCACATACATAATCGTTTACACGATAACTACGTTTCACTAGAGTAGAGAGTACAACCAAAGATTTAATCATCTTCAATTTAAACTAATGTACAAATAATTTACCTGAGAATACAGGTTCAAATTGAAATATTTAAAAAAATAAGTTGTTTCTTGACGGGTTGTGGCGAGTAGCGGAGGGTTGCTTAAAACACGACAGTAGTACTGTTCAACGGATGCACGCGACGAGTGAAGGAAACTAACCAACCGCTAGCAGCTTGCTTCCGCTTCAGTCGTTCATCTGATCAGCACCCTTTTCCTCCATGAGCAGAGCATTGATGAACGCTTATAAAAACTAATGATACTACTCGAAACTAATGTGTGCGTGCGTGCGTGTCTGTGTGCCTCACCCAGCATACTAGTCAAGTTTGTGTAGCTGCTGGTGCGTTAGACCATTGTGTAACACACCATTCTGGTCGGCCTTCACGGAATACTCGGCTCTGCGAAGGAAAAAGAAAATGCAATTGTAACCCTGCATAAAGTCTCAGACAATTTATTACATAAACACCTTTAACGACCCCAATATATTTAATAGGCACGTACAGCACGTTGGTAAAACTTGCCACTGAGTAATAGTTCAACCGTACCACTGGTTTATTCTCTAGCTGAAATTATGCAGTACCAACAAATGTAACCTACTTTTTGCGAAAGACAATTCCTTTTCAAAAGCTGCCTAGTTTTTACATGCAAGTATTATGACTTTAAAATGAGACCAGTTCTATCCACGTCCATTCTTCACCGCATACGGCATATGTACACAGTCGCGCCTTATCAGACACCTCTACCGACGAAACATCTATCTATGAAACCACTATAGGAATTTGAATGGCAGCCGTACAGTGAAACTACCTTTGCAGATCAGGCAACTGTCTATTTAATCACAGTTCTGTGTTTAAAGTGACCCCTATATATAGATTTGAATGTATTGGTTTCTGATCATCATTTCTATAGATGATATGGAGCATCTTAACATATAGGGACAGCTGTCGGCGGATGTAGTCATGTCCATAAATTTAATGTTTACTGCACAGTTCCCCTTCCCGCGGCTACATACCGATTCCTGCATGTATTATAATAGCTATATATATCAGAAGTAGATAATACGGAATTCACGCATGCGGGCATGTGTGCGTACGTATTTCTGTGCGTGTTTAATTTGTGCGTGTGTGCCTGCGCACGCGCGTGTATCTATATGTATGTGCGCGTGCGTGCATGCATGATCGTATGTGTGCGTGCATGCATGCATGATCGTGTGTGTGCGTGTGTGCGTGTGTGTTCGTGCGTGCGTGTGCATGTGTGGGTGCGTGCGTGCGTGAATTCCCTATTATCTACTTCTGATATATATAGCTATTATAATACATGCAGGAATCGGTATATAGCCGCGGGAAGGGGAACTGTGCAGTAAACATTAAATTTATGGGTTGTGTGCGTGTGAATAATTTCTTACTACACACTGCTAGTGGAGCTTCGAAGGAGGGACTTCGATTGCATTAACAGATATAGCTATAGGCACAGTTGCAATGACAGAATAGAAACAGATGCTTCGGGTTATATCGTACGGTGACGCAAATTTGATTCCAGCTATAAGATTCCGCACCCAATATGAGACTCTTCGCGATTTATAAGATATCCGTAGCAAGCAATCTTGTGTGCCCAGAGACGCGATAAGAAAACCCGAGGCATCAACCATATCAGGTTTTAGGGTGTGAGACCCTTGTCCTAAACAGTAACATATAGCTGTGCAATTCATTGCTCCGTTTAAAGCAACTCCAATTTTAAACATAAAACTAATGATTTCAGCTACACGAATTATAATTATAATTACGTTCCACAGGAATCTCTGTCTTGCTCTCTCTCTATATATATATGTGTGTGTGTGCGTGTGCGTGTGCGTGTGCGTGTGCGTGTGCGTGTGCGTGTGCGTGCGTACATTAGTATTGAAGTGTCCCTCTAGTGCCGCTTTACTCTGTTTGTCTTAAGGCCGGCTCGCTATGTGTCAATGAAGCTTAATGTCAATAATCGTAGCTACACTACTAATACTGTACGATTGCCGAAATTTGTGTACCGCGTACCTCTTCGAATCAACAATTAAGGAACGAACTCCTGCCTAAAGCAACTTGCATTGTTTTTCAGACAGTAAACAGAGATATCGCCTCTCTAAATTAAATTTGCTATTTCATTTATAAAATTTAGACCGAATTGACATATGCTAAATTTCCTGAACCTTCCATGCAGGTCTAAACATAGTACTGTAATACCCTATTTTCAAGCCTTATAAGAGAAAAGTATACTTTTGATGCCTTTTCAGTACAATGACCTATTTTTCAGGACACTCCGGGATAATTGCCCATACTTTCCAGAACGTTTCGGACTCTTCGTGAAATTGCAGGACTATCCGGCTCTTCGATGACGCGAACAAACCATGTGTTGTGCTGACGCTTACCCTTTATTCGTGACGTTGCCATTCAGCTCCTGGCAATGTTTCTTCCCAGCCTCGTACTCACGTGTGTCGTCCACCTCGGTCATCTGACCTGTGGCCAGCTTATAGAGAAAATGCAGGACGAACTGAAACGTAATAAACGAGAAGAAAAATAAACGTCTTTGTAAAATTAACCGCAGCATCGCAGGACGGCCGTATCTCGATCACATTCCTAGCAGACGAGGGGCAGAACTTCCTGAATTAAGCGGAGTGCTGCTGAGAGAGGATGCGGCGCCCAATTAACGTGCATGGTGTGGCAGGAAGGTGGTCTAGAAATAAGGTTTCACTGGTAACATGATATTTTCTCTTATTGCCCCTCCCTCCACCAGAGGCTACAGTATCGTAATACGGTAATAGTACCGGGATCTAGGGCCTAAGAATCTGCTCCTTTATCCGAGTTCTGACCACATTGGTCGTATTCAATATTCGTTCAGCTACACTAAGTTGCTTGCTCACAGCTCGAGTGCTTGTCTCATCACGAAACCCCGTGGTTCTCTGACGTCACTATATTTAGTAGAGGCGGAACTGCCATTTCACCTGGTCTTCCAAACCACAAGGGATTCAGTCCCAAAAATCTTAAAGGTACACATTCACTGCCTTACTGGGGCGTGTACTCGCAGTAGTTGATGGAGTTAAAGGTGCGCGTGGCATTCACTGGCTAACCAGAGAAACGCCAGGGGTCTCCGGAATAGCTCACGAAGGCGTGTGTCATTTGTAATAAAGTAACAGAGAAGCCGATACTAGGCTAGGGCTAGCAATAAAACAAGCAAGCATTCATCGGCTTTAACGTACTCGAGTTCATACGTTAAATAACGCAATAAAATATATTTTACAGTGTTCTACTAAATCATTTAGATGACAGTATGAACTCCGTATAAAGTGCGAGAGACTCGCCATAATTAAATGTGCGGAAGACAGATTTCTCCTGCTAGCAGTTCACAGGCAGGTCAGTAGATTTCATCCATCCAGTAGTGACACTCCATCGAATGACTCCATCAAACGAATCAACGCAAGGCTCTGATTACAGCGCTACGATAAGATCAGCTCCTCGCTTTATCGCAGGTAAACATCAATCTCTGAGGACATCAATATTGGCAGACGTTCTCACGGCAACAGACAACCAAGGTCCAAGGGAAGTTGTTTGTTTATTTCAGATATGCATATAATATCCTAAACGATTCGTAATATCAGAATAGAGTAAAAACGAATTGTTTATATTCACTCCTGGTAATGTGATTAGGTTGTCAATCTTTACTAAAGCCGTTAAGCGTATAAAGAATGAGAGCGTACAACGGTGAAATGCTGAAACCATGTTGCAATATTAGTCGAATTAATAAACTTTCCCCGTTGACGATTCTTTGCAGTATTATTGATCAGCTCTCCTACCTTGTTAACATAAAACAAACCGCATGTCCCTACGATGCCCCTACGCTGAGATAATGAGCGGTGAAAATCTGGTATTTTCGCCGAAAACCGACTCGAGATACCTGCTGACTGCGACTGTCTCTCGCTTTGAGATAACTTCGGGAAACCTCGCGTGTTTCCATCAATGATTGACAAATGGAATGAATGACGTCTGTTATTGATTGCCATAGTGATGACCCCCACCTGTGCCCACCTCACGCTGGACGTGATGCGGCCATGATGCCGAGGCTCGCCGAGGATTGACACTTTGCGTCTTCCAATCACAGCCTACGCCGCACCTCCCTATAATATAATATAAGGTGGGGGACCCATCACAGTACCAAATCGCCGATCTCAGGAACTAGGGCATTCTGCTAGGCTGGAACGGTTTCCTACGATAGAGTTTGGCACAAAAACGAAAATAGCACGTCGTTTAGCGCACTGCGGTACGTCCTTGTGTTGCATTTTCGCATCTCCGTAATCGGAATAAGCCCCGCCTTCTTCGTTGATGGGCATGAATGGGGCGTCAACGACGTGACCCGTTACTGCGTGTAGGTATTTCGCGAGACTGTTTGCTTTTCGTAAATAATGAGCGTGCCTCAAAATGGATATCCGAGGCAGGCACCTCGCAACCCGCGTGTTTGTTACCTCCGCCAAAGGGTTGGCAGGAGGTTATGTTTTCACCGGCGTGTGTTTGTTCGTTTGTGGGTTTATAACACCGTTCTTTGTGTACAGCCTAACTAAAAAAGTTATGGACGGATTGTCATAAAATTTTCAGGATAGGTCACAAATGGGCTAACTAATGGGCTGGGTTGGCAGGAGGTTATGTTTTCACCGGCGTGTGTTTGTTCGTTTGAGTTTTTTTTCGTTTGTGGGTTTGTAACACCGTTCTTTGTGTACAGCCTAACTAAAAAAGTTATGGACGGATTGTCATCAAATTTTCAGGATAGGTCACAAATGGGCTAACTTAGAATTGATTAGATTTTGGGGGTGATCCGGATCCAATTAATTAATTAATTAATTAATAAAATTTTCAGGATAGGTCAGAAATGAGGTAACTTAGAATTGATTACATTTTGGTGTTGGTCCGGATCCAATCAATTTATTAATTAATTAATTAATACAAATTTTTACAGTGAGAGAATTCAGCTGCATTGGCGGAGGTCTGCGCTCTTTGAGTGCTCTAGTATACATATATTATAGCTTTGCGACGTACGGTGTTCGGGAGTTCTGCGATGATAACCTCGTAATTTCTCACATTTCTTAAGGTGCATGGAACATTTTACCAATTTAGTGGTGTCAGTTAGTCACGGATATGTCACAGTAAGTAGGCCTACTAACCGTATAACGGTATATGTTTCACATACGATCACCTATTTTGCACACAGGCGGTCGATCATTGTGTCAAATTGTGTGAAGATGTATTTTTATTGAGACGTTCCAAGCCCCGTGGTACAAGGATAGAAAGCATGGCAAGATTGAGAACTATATAGCGTAACACATTGGCTTTGCTCTCACAACCATGCTCTATCCTTGAGCCCTTTCATCAGTCTTGTACGTCAATGCACGTGCGCCAAGAACCATAAACTCAACACAATTTCATCTCTGTTATTGTTTACGCCTGAATGCGTGATTGATCAGGGAGGGGGATGCAGGTAAAAGGGAGACATTTTCTTTGGGGTTCCGAAAAACACAATACCACTTGACAATTTCATGGGTCATTTCAGTTGGAAGCTCTGCATAATGGACACCCAACAAGCCCTTTGACTGACTAGTCAAGAAATTCAAAAGTCTGTATATTGCTCTTATTTAGCCGCCGATAGTTCTTATTTAGAACAAAGTTTTCATTGTTATCTTCTGACTTAACTACAGACCATCCGCTGACCGCTGTGGAGACGTGCGCCGGGCCTCGAATTTGGCGCACGTCTCTACTGCGGACAGCGCTTCGTACTTAACATCCCCGCAGTCGCGTGCGCATATGCCGCGGAACTGCGCGTCTCATCCGCGCGCAGTGCTCGGGATCAACAGCAAAGCCCTGCCACGCAATCTTGTATCATGTCTCTCTGGATGGATTATTGCACCAGGGAGAAATACTAATTTTACATACCAGGGTATTTGGTTATGTTGGTTCGAATCCCGAATTCGAATTTTTTATTTTTTTATTTTTTTTATTTTTCTGTTTAGGGTTAGGGTTAGGGTTAGATTAGGATTAGGGTTAGGGTTAGGGTTCACAATGCGTGTGTACACATGTGTATTATGGACCCGAGCGATCCCGAAGTTGCGCCCTACTACCGTTCGGCTATTTCCGGAAAAATGAGTATTTCTCCCATGGTACACGATTCCGCTGGATGTAGTAAACTCTGTAGTACTGACGTAATGAGTCAGCGCTACCATGGCGCTACACAGCGGCAACCGGAAGCAACACACTGGCCACAAAGCGAGAGAGGGTCGCAGCAAACAGGGATCTCGAGTCCGTTTTCGGCAAAAATACCAGATTTTCACCGCTCATTATCTCAGCGTAGGGGCATCTAGTAGGGACAAGCGGTTTGTTTTATATTAGCAAGGTAAGACAGCTGATCAATAATACCGCAATCAATAATAATCGTCAAGATCAAACGGGCAAAGTTTCTTAATTCGACTAATACTGCAACATGGTTTTAGCATTTCACAGTTGTACGCGCTCCTTCTTTATACGCTCTTTATTGAATAGAAAGAAAGTAAGGCTTTTGGTTAGGCGACATCTGTCGATCGGCCATACTGCTGGCAGACTATATGATAACGTAACGTAAAGTAACGCAAGGAAATGTAATCAGTCGAGGCGGGCTATATAACATTGCAGATAATCCTGGTAACTAACAATACACTTTCAACAATACAGTGTGTATTGTTGAACACCTAACAATATAATAAGTATTGTTGTAGAACCTTACAACTTTGTATTTAAATTCAATTTCATTTTCAATAAATTCAATCAAATCAATCAAATAATTTCAATAAATTCATTTAAATAAATGATAATTTCAAGTTTAATTAAACTAATATCGCTATATTTCTTAAAATAACACTATAGATACTATAACAAAACAAAGACGAGATCGTTAATTAAAAATATTTTGGTCCTGAACATCCGGATAAAACAATTTTTTACAAATGCGAAACATTTCTACATGATATGTCACCAGTGGCACCAAAGTCAATAAGAAAAAATATTTCAGAGAATATTCTCTTGTTATGTTCCACAACAATACACAATATATTGTTAGGTGTTCAACAATATACACACTGTATTGTTGAAAGTGTATTGTTAGTTACCAGGATTATCCGCATATTGAAATTTTAGGTATCATGTGCTCCGAGACTCATCGATATACATGCATAGCAGCCAAGCATTATGATGTAGCGTTACTTAGCTATCATGTGAGCCGGCCCTAAACTAGAAAGGGCAGTTGTCGCCAACTACATGTATCGCCCGTGATCTAGTATGAATGAAATATCTCTGTAAGGACGTAGAAGGTAGCCGCGTAAAGTTAAATAAGTCACAAAGACAAAGGTTTGTTACACAAACTCATCTGCCTGAGATGTGCAAGTATGTTAAAATTGGTTGCCTTAGGGTTTTGGTACGCTGCGCACCTTCTCCCCAAGATGTGTAAGTATACAAGTTTGGTAGCGCTAGGTCAATTAGGGGCTGAGTTATAGAGCAGAAGAGAAATATGATCAAGGTTAAGGTAAAGGTAAAATAAATGGCGTAGTGACCTGGTTTTGATACGCTGCGCACCTTCTCCCCAAGATGTGTAAGTATACCAAGTTGGAGCGCTAGGTCAATTAGGGGCGAGTTATAGAACAGAAGGAAATATGATCAAGGTCAAGGTAAAGGTCAAATAAGGTCGTAATGACTTGGTTTTGCGTACGCTGCTCACCTTCTCCCCAAGATGTGTAAGTAGACCATGTTTGGTCATGCTAGGTCAATTAGGGGTCGAGATATAGAGCGGAAGGGAAAAGTGTCTGCGGCGACGGCGGCGGCGGCTGGACAAACATGGAGTTTCGATATTAAAAAAAGAACAGGAATGTGTGCTTGATTCATGTCGAGCAAACGTTAGCTGAGAGTTACATCATGGTATCGGCAATTGTGGGATGTAGGGGGGGGGGTTGTTCTTTTGCCTCGTTTTGTTGGCACCGAGAAATACCAAGACCTCTGCGTCTTCGTGTCACGTCTATTTCCGCTACACTTTGAATTGTGCTGTTCCATGCACGTTCGTTCTGTGCGTGTTCCGACAACGTTCGCCGCATGTCCAGCAACTGTATCCAACATCTATGTCAACCTTAATTTGTTTCGAACCGGATGTAGAGATAGCAGCCAAACTAGCGAGCCCTGGCGACAGTAAAGCGTATTAACAGCTGATCCCGTGCGCGACACTAAACGCGGTGTAAAGGTATCTCGCATTTAAAACTATGATACGTATCACAGCCAGTTCCAACTAGTTCTGACGCATCGCACATTCGCCCTGTCACGGTTCGATGTCGTTCACGCGAATCCGCGACGCCCATTTATCCCCGACGTCTCCGCCCAATCGTCGTCTCTTAACGAGGTCACGCGCGGCGCACACGCAACCACGCATTGTACGCGATTCCATTTTATTCCCGACCGAGATTGCACAGATTTTCCCCTCGACCACACAGCAGTTCCTGCACAATGCGTGAAGACCTCATGTTTATTTCTCTCTCTCTCTCTCTCTCTCTCTCTCTCTCTCCTCCTCTCTCCCTCTTCTCCTCTCTTCTCCCTCTTCCCTCTCTCCCCTCTCTCCCTCTCTCCCTCTCTCCCTCTCTCTCTCTCTCTCTCTCTCTCTCTCTCTTCTCTCTCTTTCTCTCTCTCTCTCTCTCTCTCTCTCTCGTTCTCTCTCTCTCTCCGAAAAGCGGACAAATTGCAACTAATAAATATTCTGTCGAAAGATGCATTCCAGCCAGATTTTCCTATCAGTGACATCGTTAAAACATGTACCATTATTGATGGTATGGCAGTGGTACAATCCATTGGGAAACCGACAACAGCAGTTACGTTTGGTGACTTAGCAGATGTGTTTGTGAACTGTGTGAAGTCACACGGTAGAAATTCAGACAGGATAGATATTTATTTGATCGATACGAGGAGAATTCTATTAAAGAAGGTACACGAGAAAGACGACGATCAGGGACAAAACAAATTAGGCGGTTGATTACAGGTAAAGACACAAAACTCCCTCAGAACTGGAAGACATTAATTTTATCACTCTCGCTGAAAACAAAGCCGATCTTGCTCGTTTCTTGTCAGAGGAATTGATCATCTCTAGTGAACTTGGCGGTAAAGAGATAATTGTGTGTGGAGGGTTTACGGAAATAACGAAAACGATATGTACCTCGGAACGTGATGTGTCAACACTTTGAACAAACCACGAGAGGCTGACACGCGAATTGTTCTCTATGCGTGCGATGCTGCAAACCACGGATATTAAGCGAACGATTTGTAGTTTGCAGGGATACCGATTGTGATGATGCTAACAGTGTTTTCGGCAGTTGTCGCAGGAGGTTTGGATGAATTAAGGCAGGAACTTCAAAATCTCCTTGGATGATAAGAGTCCATGACATTGCAATAAACAACAACACTCGAAAGGGATTGTTAGCTTTTCATGCGCTAACGGGAAGTGACACGACGAGTCAGTTTGCAGGAATTTCTAAAAACGCCGCATGGAAAGTATTTATTGAAGATCCAGATCACATTCATGGGTTGGAACAGAATCTACCACTATTACCTAGATTAATTGCTATCATCAGTGGAAGCATTTATATGTAAACTGTATGATCCAACGACAACATTGGTAGTCATACAGGAAATTCGCTTGTCGAAGTTCTTCCAATGCAAGACGAATATTGACTATTTGCCACCAACGAAAGACGCACTGATACTACATTGTCATCGAGCCCACTATCAGAGCCTCATTTGGAACCAGTGTGTAGAAAGTACTCAGTGCATTCCTTCGGCATTTGATTGCAGTTGGTATATGCAGGATGGCATTCTGAAACCACGGCTCATGACACTGAATCCATTTCGTGCCAATACTATTGGCAATAAAGACATGTGGCTGTAGTAAGGACGAACCTGGTTGCCGTACAGGTAGCTGTACATGTACCAAAAACAATATGTACTGCACCGGTGCGTGCAAATGCAACATGGCCTGCATGAACCCATACAACAATGTTCTTGGGGTGTGACTGTTTTAAAACTACATATTCTGACAATTCTGGTATGCTTATATATGTTTTTATGTTGGCTTAGACTGTTGTATAGTAATGGAGTAACATACCACCATGTTGAAATCCAAGATGGCCGCCATCCTATGCTTTTCTAAGTGTCTAATTCTGTTCTCCATTATCGAAAATGTGGGTTTAGACATCAAAATTATGTCTCTACGACGTCTTGGAGTCTAGTTATTCAAAATAAACAAATTTCACTGGCGGCGATATTAAAATCCAATATGGCCGCCATCCTATGTTTCTCTAAGTGTGATAATTGGGTTCTCCACTATCGAAAATGTGGGATATAGCCACCAAACATTATGTCTCTACGACGTCTGGGAGTCCAGATATTTCAGAAAAATCCATTTTCGCTGGCGTCATTTTGGATTTCAAGATTGCCGCCACAAATACGCAAAGTCAGCTGGAAACTATACCCAAGTGGAACTCCCCAAGTATCATAGAAATGATATTTATCCGTTTCCAGCCTCTACCCAAAAAGTTTAGGCTCATCCTTATTTTGGATATCTGCCCCCTGACTATCTCCCTCTCTCTCTCTCTCACGCTCGATTTCTCTCACTGTAAGTTTTCTATCAAGAGCGTATGAAGTATGAAGTATGCGTATGTAGCATACTTAATACGCTCTTCTCTCTCTCTCTCTCTCTCTCTCTCTCTCTCTCTCTCTCTCTCTCTCTATCCGCCTCTCCCTCTGTCTCGTGCGCGCCCCTGCGCTCGCTGTTTCGCTCTTCCTATTCTTTTGGCCGGTCGGTTTGTGAGCTCTCATGAAGTGATTGCTTGCATTCACCGGCGTTCTTACACGCTGCTGTCATCATCATCATCATCATCATCATCATCATCATCATCATCAGTCGTCGTCGTCGTCGTCGTCATCACCATCATCATCATCATCATCATCATCATCATCATCATCATCATCATTATCATCATCATCATCATGACCACTCTCTTCGTAATTTCTTCCCCGCTGGCTGTACAAATGCCATCCGTGCGGCACACATCACTGATATAAGCTTAGCTTGTTCCAAATGAATGCCACCGCATGCTGTATTGTTCGCTACACTGCTACTTCCGCCTACAGATGTGTGAAGAACGCGGGAAAAAATTATAGGTGGCGCGAATTTAACAGCTAGTCTTGGCAACACGCGGCGTTAAAATCCGCCGGGCTACAAATTCCCGCGACACATCACACGATTCAAATACTGCGACTCATGAGGGATATTCAATCGGGTTCTTCTAACGATAAAGATCATTACAATGTTTAGGGTGACGAGAGAGAAGACGCCGGCAACTGGACGTACACCGCTATTGTTCAAAAAAGGAAGTGCAGTTGGTGTTCCAAATAAGTGAACCTCTCACCGTTCTACCGGTTTGCAAATATGACCCCCTTTACCATCTACCCGGCTACAATGATCAATGCTTTACCATTTTACCTAACTAAAATGATATGGCCTTTACCATTCTGTCTATATGCAATGATGACACCTCCACCTTTCTAGCTGTCTACAATGACGACATCTCCGTTTTTTATTTATCCACAATGACAACAACTCCACCTTTCTACCTATCTACAGTGACCACACCTCAACTTTTCTAGCTGACTACAATGACGACATCTCCATTTTTCTATCTGACTACAATGATGACATCATCTTTTTACCTGCATTCTCCAAAAAATTTTACTTCTATAGTTTTACCTGTCTACCACAACGTCACCTTCACCATTCTGCCCAAGGATCCCACTGTGATGAGAACGTACCGAGAACCAGTAAATATTCAGCAGCTGCAGAATCCATAGCATGACGTTTAAGAAGACGAAGAATGGTTTCTTCTCGACTGGAGCATACTTCATTGCTCCATAGCCGGTACTGTAGAGAACCTTCAGTGGATACCAGTACAGCCTGAACACCAGCCTGTAAGCAAGCATATAAACACGTAGTCTGTCTCTCTCTCTAAATATAATATATTAGTCCGTACATCCGTCAGTCCATCTGTCCGTCCATCCATCTATCCGTCCATCCATCTATCCATCCATCCAGTGGCAGATCCAGGATTTTGAGATTGGGGGGCCGCAACCGCGTAGCCAGGGTTTCATTTTAGGGGGAGCGGATTTTGTGATAGCGCTGGTGCGCACGTTTTGAGTGCCGAATAGGGGGGACAAAAAATAGGGGGCACCTCTTGCGCCCCCACCCTTGGATCCGCCACTGCCATCCATCCATCCATCCATCCATCCATCCATCCATCCATCCATCCATCCATCCATCCATCCATCCATCCTCCATCTATATGTTAGGAACCGTAAGGTTAGAATTACCTAAACCTTTCGGTTACCAACTATACAAATTAGTTTTACC